ACGAACACGGCGGCCAGGCACGAGCGGTTGCCGCACTGGAACTCGTGCGGGGCGCACACTGCGCGGGACAGACAGCCGGTCGGCCCGCCGAACCCCGTCCCCGGACACCCGGCCGCTGGTCCTGCTGCAGGGGCCGGACCCACACCCCTGGGCCAGAAGGAGCCCTGCTGGGGGCTGAATGGTGGACGTGCCGCCAGGGACAGCAAAGGGGGCTTCCAATCCAGGTACTGCGGGTGCGTGCGTGTGCGTGCGTGTGTGTGCGTGTGTGTGTGTTACACACTCTCCCTCCCGGAGCCTCCCAGCCTCCCTGCCCGCTGGACCGCGGCGCTAGGAGGGTCTCTAAAGCTGCAGAGCGCCACCTGCAGGCCTTTGTGATGTTCCCAGGAAATGCTATGTAGCATGGCACTGACCCTTCCAGGGAACAGGGTCTGGGCTGTTTCCTTACAGCACAGCTCAGCAGCTCGGGTTCCCCGCCACCCGCCCATGGCCGGTACTGCACCATCTGCGTCTCCGGGCCTGGCACCCAAGGCCACGAGCACGGAGCCCCTGCTCTGGGCCATGGCCTCCTTCACTCCAGCACACACCCTGCTCTGATCAGACCTTTTGCGCACGTTCCACCTCTGGGCTTTGGCTCCAGCTGTTGCATCGGCTGGTATATACGTTGCCCACCACTGTCTCTACACTTTACAGAGATGGGTTCTCGTCTGACGAGGGCCCAAATGCCACCTCTTTCCTAACACACTCCCTGCTCCCTGCTCGGGAAGCCCCCCTCCCGCTCTGCTGCCGGTGCCTTTCACATCATGCTCGGTGTCTGGGTCTCACATCTTCTCCACGGCCCCAGGACCACACACCGCATGGCACTGGCTCTGAGACCAACCCAGCGTGGTGCTGAGGGCCCGGCCCAGGGCTCCCCGCAGTGGGCGGGTGTGTTGTGGATGGGTGGGAGGGCTCACTGAGGGGTGTGCAGTAGTGAAGGGCAAAGGTCACTGGCCCTGCCTGGGGTCCTGGGCTTTCCCTCTCTAGTGGGCTGCTCTGAGCTGAGAGGCTGGGAGGGCCTTAGAGATCACCAGCCCAGCTTCCAGTTTACAGACGGGGAAACCAAGCCCAGAGAGGGGAGCAATTTCCTCAGGGTCACACGGTCCAGGGTGACGGGGGAAACAGGACTCGGGTTGCGGGCTCTTCCTTCCTACTCTGGTTTTCTCCTGGAGTGTAAGCTGGTGTCGGAGCAGCGACCTCCTTGCCTCCTTCATTCCTTACACAGAGGCCAAGAACAAGCCGGGGGGCTGAGGTGGGGCTTGGCTGTGGCCGCAGGTAATGAGGTGGTAGCACCAGATCACTCCACATGGGGGCGCCAAGAGTCTGTTTTTCTGATGGAATTTTTTCCCCCATTGTTACTGAATATAAAATAGAACAATGCCTTCAGTTTCACAATGTAGGCAGCTCAAGTCACATGTTGCTGACAGTTCTGTCAGGTTTCTGACAGGAGCATTTTTCCCCCTTCTAGGCTTTTGGGATGTTGGGGCTGTGGTGGGAAAAGCACATGTCACCCTGTGATGTCCGCCCCTCACGATTATGCTGATGCCTAGATTAGCTGCACTCCTTCCCGCCCAGACTCGGCGTGTGCATGTCCAGGGAGCGAGGACTCACGTTGTTCAGAGTTCTGGAAGGAAGTACTTCTCTATACTGAATTCTCTCCAACGTTTTGAAGCGGACGGCCACTTTAAGATCTGTATTCTCAGGCCTGTGCCCAGAGACCCACTCACAGCATTCACAAATGGAAGAAACTCTGGGGGACAGGACGGTGGGGGAAGCATTCTTGTTCCTTTCCCCAGGTTGGGAGCTGTAGCAGAGAAGCCCACTAAAACCATCTAACACCCTGTCTGTTATGATTGACAGGGAACTTTCCTGCTACCGCATGCCAGGCTCTGGTTAGAGCTGTTCCCACCCCTGCGGTAGCGGCTGATGGTCTTTATGACCAAGGAAGCACCTGACTGTGGGGGTGCGAAGGGGAGAGGATTCTCATGGGCGGCGAGGTCCCACAAAGAAGAAAAGAGCCAATGCCATCATTGGGGCTTTGACACTGCTGGTCCCCGTCAGGATCTCGCCCATACCCAGATGCTTCCTGCTTCAGGCACATACCCCAGACATAGAATCTCAGAGCTGCAACTCAGAAGCCCCCAGAGGACAGGGCATTTCCCCTGCGCCAGGAAGGGTGGGTAAGATGCAGACACAGAGGTTGGCGTAGGGAGTGGGGTGGAAGACAGTGGTGGGCACATGCCTGGCAAAAGCTCCCGAGTGACCGCCCAGCCTCACAGCCTGGTTATCGACAGCCGGTCTGTCCCCCCCGTTAGTCATGAGCCCCAGAGGGAGGACTGTAGGACGCGCCTCTTGTCCCTTCCGGAGCCTGGCTCAGGCCTTGCACACAGTAGGAGCCCATCACATTGAAACCAGCGCGGCCCAGCCACGCTCCCCACTGGCCTAGGCCCTGCTGGCCTGCTCCCTGGGATGGAGATAATCTGTGTTTGAAGCTCAGTGATGTGGAACTGTCCCGGTGACCACTTCTATCTGTCCCTGCCGAGGCCGCTGGGAGTGTCCTCTCTGCCCTGTGACGTTGCGCTTGAATCTGAGATTTCAGCAACAGTCCTTCACACCTCAGGAATCTGTCCCCCTGCCCCGGACACTACCCGTGCCCTGGCCCAGGCCACCACCATTTCTTGCTGCAGTCCCATCTGTTCTCCCTGCCCTTGCTCGGGGACCGGTAGAGACATGGAATGGATGAGCAAATGTCAGGCATGGTAAGAAACACCTCATGGGCTTTGCTGTCCAGACCTGAACTTGAATCTCAGTGCCAGCACTCAGCCTCGAGTACTTTTCCTCACTTGTCTGAGCCTCAGTTTCCTCGCCCATAAAATGGGAATGATAATGACTGCTTGTGAGCTGGTTGTGAGGATGAAAGAAAACAGTGTCTCCAAAGTGCCTGGCCATCACTAGTGTCCTGATCATCACCCTTTCCTTCCACCGATCACGCCCCCGGGGGCTGCCTGGCCGTGCAGCGCAGACCTAGGGATCCCACCCCGACTCACGGGTGGCACAGCCGGCCTCGTCCGCTCCGCTCTCGCAGTCCTTCTCCCCGTCGCAGCGCCACGAGGCGGGCACACACTTGTGGCTGGTGGGTCCACAGCTCAGCTTCTCTGCAGGACACACCTGCTTGGCTGTGGAGACAGACACATGTGCATGGGTTGGCCAAGGAGGACACAGGGCCTGGTGCCAGCCCGTCCTACTGCTTGGCCCCAGCCACCTGGCCTGAGGCCCTGGGAATCCACCAAAGCCTTCCTGTTTCGTGTGTCTGGTGTCTTCATCTGAGAAGCCCCTGTCTGTCCTGAAGACTTTCTGAATCTTGTATCTGACTCCACCACGGCCCCTACCTAACTCTGTCTCATACCCCCCTCGTCCCTGGCGATCAAGCCTCCTTGATCCGGCCAACTCCCGCCTGCTTTGACGGCCCCACCTCCCCTCGGTCCAAACCTCCCCTTTAAGCTCCAGCAACATGGAGCTCCATGCCCTGCAAGTATCTCTGCCATTTCCCAGCTGTGTCCTGGGGCAAGACATGCCCCATTTGGGTCTCAGTGCCTCATTGATCCGAACCTGCAGATCTGAAGAGTTCACCAAGGCCTCAACAGCCCCCCCTCCCGACCCCCCCCCCCGACCCCCCCACCCACCCACCATACAACTCACCCCCTCCAATCCCGGCAATGGTGGGAGCCGCTGCTGAGAGCAGCCGCCTGTGGCAGGGCCCAGCGGGACCACACAGCTATAATTACTGCAGCTGCAATCAGAGGCTGGCTCAGTCAGGGGCCTGAAGCCCCAGGCTTGATTCTCAATTTGGAAGAAAGAATGAGAACCCTGATGGGGGCTGGGGGTGGCCTTCATCCTGAGCATCTCAGGGTGACCCTTGGGGCAGACCCAGCCAAGGCGGGCGCCTCTGAGACCTTGGCGGCAGCTCCTGAACACAGTGGTCTCTAGGACGTGCCAGGCATAGTCTTCCTCTTCACAGGAACTCGGCAGGGGGAGGATTATCTTGTGGCACAGACATCAAGGGCCTGGGCTCTGGAGCCTGGCTTCCTGGGTTCAAATCCTAGCTCGGCCGCTCACTGATGAGCTACCTTAGCCAGTAATCCTCATCTCTGTGCCATTAAAGTGGGGATAATACTATTCCTTACCACATAGGGTTGTTATGAGGACTAAGGTCATGTCTGGGAAGAACTTAGGACTGGCCCGCCCAGCCCTGAGTGCACTGACGATACTAATTCCCGGGTAACACAGGACTGGTTTATTCTCTCAGCGAGTATCTACCGAGCGCTGCTCTGCCCCAGACACGGCGGCGATCACACAGCCGGTTAAGGACGGAGTGAGGACTCAGAGTCAGCTGTGTCTGGTGCCTGCAGCCGGACAGTCCACTGCACTGGGAAGCAGTGGGTGGCTGTTGCCTGACCCTCACTCTTCTCTCTGATCCCAGACCAGTTCGTTCTCTTCTTACTTCCATAGCTGGGCTGAGGCCACAAGGGCTGGACAAAAGGGCACAGACAAGATGGGGTGGGGGCGCAGGAGTCTGCGTCCTGGCCTCCAAACACTACTGTGCCAGGAGAGAGGAGTTCCTTGGCCCCCAGTATGGACCCCAAAGTTATCCCTAGGACGACATTTCATGGACTACAAGGCAACCTGTTGGGAATACAGGATTCATGTTACAGACAGTTCCCCGAACAAGTGACTGTTGTGTCGAGTCTGGGGCGGCCTTGGGGCTGCAGTGCCGGGTGGTGAGGGGCCTGGGAGTTGGGAGGGGGCACCACACACTGTGGGACCTCAGTAAGCACTTCCCCTTCGGGGCCCATCAGAACACAGGGGGAGCTGGGGCTGACCGGCATTTCCCAGAGTCCTGACTAAGGGATGAGGGTGTGGTGGCTGTTGGAAATACTCCAGCCCATAGTAGACTGAATCCAGCCTTCGAGGGCAGAGTCAGGGATCTGCATTTTAGCAAACCCCCCACCCAGTGATTCCCATGCACCCCTTGGGAAACCCCCAGGTTATCATTCTGCAAGTTCAAAAGATATAGGATATTTCATCTCTTTTAAATTCACCCCCAGAAAAATGATAGCGATGTTCTATATGTTTGCAAGCCCAGAGAGAGCAATGGGGTGGAGGGACAAGGCGACTGTATGTCCCTGAGCCAGGCCTCAGGAAACCACCTCACCGGGGACCTGGAAGGAAGTCATGTGCACTGAGCACCTGCAGTGTGTCGGCCTGCTCCACGCTGCGCATTTGACAATTCCCCATTTCACCCTTACCCTCACCTGCCAGGTAAGCAGGCCCTGCAGGCTGTGAGTGTGAATTCCAGGGGCACCATTCATAGAGATGGTCATGTCAGCATTGAACGGAGGCTCAGAGAGACCAAGTAATGGCCAAAATGCACAGCGGCGAGAAGCAGAGTCCAGGTTACCCTTCCCATCAACCCCCACAGGCTCCTGCGGGTGGGGAAGTGGCTCAGAACAGCTCCAGACTCTGCCCCACATCCCAGGTGCTGGAAGGTCCCTCGACCACCCGCACCCCCTCTGGGGCTTGGTCCTGCAGACCCCGGGGCAGCAGGCAACCGCTTGAACTTTTAATGAATATTTATACAGTTAATTGCATAACCTTTCAGCAAGGACAATGATTAAACAATCCGTCCGCTTCCTTTCTTTATAATTAATAAGACATTTGCGTGTCCCTAAATAGACAGCTCTAATTATAGGCTCTGGAGGACTCGGCAGCGCCTGACAGCAGCCCTCCTGCCCTCAGAGTGCCAAGGCGCCATGCTGGAATGCCAGGCTCCAGGGGTCGTGGCGGTCACATGGAGGAGCAGCTGTTAGAGCGACAGGAGAGAGAGGTCCGAGAGGGGAAGGGACCTGCTGAGGGATGCTGGCTGTTCCAATGGCCTGTCTCTCCCGGAACCTCCCCGTCTTTGCTGTGATGTGGCTCTGCCCCAAAGCCAGGACGCGCACCGTGCTCTCCGGGCTCCTGGGCCAGGCCTCTCACTGCAGGCCCTGGGAAGTGCAGGTCTTCTTATGAGGGGCACTGTCATTACCTTCATCTTATGAACGAGGAGAGCAAAGCCTGGAGAGGGTAAGTCTTGCAGTGAGGGGCAGAGCTGGGCTTCCATTCCAGGACGCACCTCCAAACGCACTGCTTAACTTTTTTGCACTTGATCACAAGAGAAAGCAGGCCCCTTGGGTCCCCACCCTTGTCAGTCTCCCTGGCATCCCTGGGGTGGAGAGGGTGCTGAAGGAAGGAGGCTCAAGGGGCCTCAGCTCAGGCAGAGTCTGCAAGATGGCAGGTGGCCACCCAGCACCCACTTTCAGGAGGACTGAAGCCAAAGGCCTTGGGGAGCATGAGGTGGGCGACAGAGCCTGGGCTTTCGAGTTCCTTCAGCAAATCGCTTAACCTCTCCCCACTCTGGCTCCTCTTATCTGAAAACGGGGTTACACAGTCTTCTAGATTTGGTGGGTGGTTTAAATGGGGAAACATGGAAATGCCTACTCTCAGAACCTGCAAGAAACTCTAAGCTCAAAAAAGAATGGCCCTTGTTTTAGTTCATAAAATGCAAATGCAAAGGGCTGGAAGGGCCCTGGTCTCCCCCCTGGGGATGCACGTTATCATGGCCCACCACGGTCAGCCCCAGCCCAGAACGCAGGTGCCTGTCTCTGTCTGTCTCCCTGAGACGGATGCCTGAGGGAAGCCCTCGGCCTGCTGGTCAAGTATCCCCAGGTTCTGAGAGGCAGGAGCGAGGCACCCGCCGTCTCGGACGTGGGGAATCCTGCACAGCTGGCGAGGGGCCAACTGCACGCTGGAGAGGCTGCAGGCATTTACACATTCCCAGAGAATCTGCCCCAGAAATCCAAACCCGTGGGTACTTTTTCTAATTCATAAGCTCGCAAATTAATAAAAAGGGAAATGTCTGTTGAATAAAAGAATGAAAGTACTTGGCGGCTGCTTATTGAGCCAGCACGTGTGTGTGTCAGGTCACGAGGGGCTCAAGGGCAGCCGACCTCCAAGTGGGGATTGCTGGCTCCAAGGGGACCAGAGCTCGGGCCCTGGGAACATTCAGTGTCCAGCTGCTGCCGGTGCAGAAGGGGTGGTTGCAGCAGCTCTTTCACACGGGGGCAAAGTGCTAATTAGCATATTCAGCTTTTATTAGTATAGATAGGAAGGTACTCTTGGTTAATCAGTGAGGTCTGCTTCCAGGTGGAAAGGTTCTAAGATTCATGCATAAACCCTCATTTTCAATAAGCAGCACCAAGAATTGCAGCTCACTCACCTTGAACCAAACTCCCCACCTCCCGCCCCTCCAGATGCCTGAAGGTGGGTCTGAGCCGTCCCCAATCAATGCGCTATAATTAGAGCTGCGATGCTACTTTCATTAGGCAAATGTCCCAGGCTTTCCTACTGTGACTCCTGGCTGGTTTGACAGACAATCCAGAACCAGAGGAAAGAGAGCTGGGAGAAACCCCAGTCCCCCAGTCGTCGTGGAGGAATGCAGGAATGGGGGCTGCTCCCAGATCCCTTACCCTCGCGATGCAACCCCCCTCACTTACACTATTCTAAGATTTTAAACTGGGGTATGTGAAGGAGAGGGCCTGAAGTAAAAATATAGTAATGAAAGTAACACTGCCCGTTCCTGCAGCACTAACACTTTCCGAGCAGTTTTCCATTTGATCCTCACATCCCCTGCAAGGCAGATACCATTACCCCCATTTTAAAGATGAATAAGCTGAGGTCCAGGGAGATTGGGCAATTTGCCTGAGGCCTCACAGGTTAGAGGACCTGAACCCAAATACATCAAACACCGTAGTACTCACCACACTTTACTACTGCCTATGATCCTTCTTTGAGGGTGGGGAGGGGCTCAATCCTGGGAGCTGGCACAATCCCCAGAAACCTGGTAGGCTGTGAAGGTTGCTATGACAACACCAATTCAATGGGCAGCGGGTTGACTGTGGGGTTCTTGTTCAGTCAGGAAGCCTGCTATCAGGCCCTCCAATGCTGCCTGACCCTCGAGGTCCCCCCTGGCTCACCTCCTCCAGGCAGTCCTCCCTGCCCATAGGCCTGTCCACCTCTCACCATGCAACTCTAGACCGGAAGTGGGGTCCTGAGCTCGTGTCCCAGCTGGGCACAGGCAAAGGAGAGAGTATCTCAGAATCCTGAGTCTAGGAATCTTAGGATCACGGTCTTGGGAATTCTGGGATGTGGGAAACCAGGGCCCACAGAGGACCTCACAGTAATCACTGGGAGGACCCAGAGAGCTGGGCCCCTCCCTCCCTGGACGCAGCCTTGGCTACGCTCCCATGGGTGCTCTCTCAAGCCTCAGGGAGCCTGTGGAGCCTGTTGTCACGGAGGCAGACCAGCCACAACAACCTGAGCATCTCGGAAGCAAGGCCCTCCACTGCTCTGGGCCGCCAGTAACTGCCTCAGAGCTGGGTGCCAAGCAGGCCAGGGGTGGGAAGGCAGCAAGTGCTAAGTGGGCAAAAAGGACAAAGACAGGGACACGGGGCAGGGCAGGGTGAGGGAGGGGGAGGCCAGCAGGGTGGGCAGGACCCAGTGGCAGGAGGAAGATGAAAAGGGACACCAACCCAGAGAAGTGGGGAGAGGGGAGCACAGCTTTCAGGCAGCAAGACAGATCCCGGTAATAATGGTGATGCAGCTCCCCACTCCCTTTCTGCCCCAGCATCCAGGGTCGCTGCTGGCGTGAGGGCGGGTGGCCCAGCTGGCTGGCTGCAGTGGTGGAAAAGCCCCCTGTGGCCACAGTCACTCCCCAAACACACGCACCGGGCTGCACGGCCGCTGGGCGGCACTGGCTCTGCCCCTTGTTAGCTGGGTAGCCTTGGGCAAGGGGTGAACCTGTTCCAGCCTGTTTTCTTCTCTCTAAATGGGGGTCCATCCCACCCCCTTGCCAAGGTGGTCCTGAGGATGAGAGTCACAGTGGGTGTGGCTGGGCTTTGTTCCTTTTGAAGCTCAAGACAATGAGCTGGCTGCCCCCTGCCCAGGCACCCCCAGGACAGCGCAGGGGTTGGCACCTGGTGGGTGAGGAAAGGATCAGGCCTGGGGCAATGCAGGGAAGGTGAGGGCAAAAGGGAAGGGAGCTGGGGGGCCCTGTCTTAGGCTGGGTTGCTCTTGCTGTCACTCTCTCTCCCCCTTTCTCTTTCTCTCACTCCGAGACTGGTAGCTCTGTTGCTAGGAGACAAGGAAACCCAGTTATCACTAGCTCAGCCCTCGATGGGACTAGATGGGATGCTGGCCTCCATTGTCCCTGCCTCTGCCTCTGGGACAACTGTACCCCTAACAAGACGTGGGGCTGTGACTGCAGTACCCCCAGCCCCACACCCTCCACATGCTTATCCGCCCCCCCCCCCCCCCCCCCGTCTTTTGTCTCAGGCTCACTCAGATGAAGCTCTGCCTCCAGGACCACTGGGTCCTTCCCCGCCCCCTTCTCAGCTCCCTTTTTAATTTAACAAATGTCACAGAATGACCTGCTGGTGTAAGTTTGCTTTGAGGATTAGAGCCTGGAAAAGAAATCACGGAGAGACAAAGCCCTGAGTGTGGGGCAGGCCTGGGGCTCAGCTCTGCCAACCACTCACCCTGCTGCCTGGGCTGCCGCCAGCCGGCCATGGAGGCCGGGACCCGGGCAGAGCTGCCCAGGGCAGAGGAAAGAACTGAGGCCTCAACGTCCTGGCTGGGTCTGAGCCTCGGTGTCCCCCTTTGTAAAATTCGGAAAGTGGCAGTTCCTGCCTCATGAGGCTGCTGTGGGGATGAGAGGAATTAATGTACACAAAGAGCTCAGTACAGTGCCTGGCACACAATACATGCTTCACGAGCACCAGCCGTTAGTATTATTAGAATTATGATTGGAGTCCTCAAAAAGGTAGTGGGGGTGCGCGGGGCTGGAGGATGTGCTATGGCAACTTCTGGGCAGAAGGCTCAGAGGGCTCTCTTAGAAGCGCCTGGTACTGCAGGAGCAGGGCCCAGTGTGCCAGGGAGCTGTGAAGACAGCCCGGAGCAGGATGCTGGACACCAGCTACTAGATTCACCTGCCCTTTGCCAGGAGCCCCGAGGGCACAGCGCAAAGTGAGTCCAGGCTGTGTTTGACAGATCACCTTCCTTGAGCCTCCCAACCTCCCACCAAGGAAGATCTGATGAGGAAACCGAAGCCCAAGACCCCGGCCCGCAGCCCGAGGGACAGGACTCACGGCAGGTGGCCTGGAACTCATCGGAGCCGTCAGAACACTCCTCTTCGCCGTCACACTTCCACCGCTCGGGGATGCAGTGGCCGTTGTCACAGGTGAAGTCGGTGTCCATACAAGTCTTCTTGGCTGTGGGGCAAGGAGAAGAGCGTGAGGGGCCTGCTGGGCACAGGAGGCTTTTTTTAGGACAGAATGTGCTCGACCACCTGGCCTTCCATGGCCCCTATGTCACAGGGAGTCCCATCGACCGAGGGGAGAGAACAGGAGAGAGAGGCTTTTACCGAGCACCAGAGGGAGACAGGTGACACCTGTCCTGCCCTCCAAATTCAGAGCGAAGTCCAACAAGTGTGACAGGATCCATCCACCAAGGGCATGCCTGTTTCCTATCACACCTCTCTCTTCCCCCAAAGTCTAGTTCCACTGTCACAGCCTCCAGGAAGTCTTCCCTGATCACCTAGGGCAGATGCTTTAGCCCCTTCCGCCAGTTCTCAGTCCCTGTACCTGCTCCCCCAACCTGACCAAAGTTAAGGCCTCGTCTGTAAACACCAGAAAACTGGTGATAATAAATCAAAGGCGAATGATTGTTTTATGACAAGATTAATGAGATATCCTCTGTTCAGAGTGGTGGAAAGAGAATCTACTGGCAAGACACCCAAATCAGTCTCTGTCCCCAGGGTGCTTCCAGTCTGAGGGGTGGGGGAGGCCTCCACACAGGGGGTTTGAATCCCAGCTCTGCCTCTGATCTGTCTAAGCCCCTGTTTTCTTATCTATATAACTAGAGGCCCGGTGCACGAAAATCATGCATGGGGGGGAGGGTCCCTTAGCCCAGCCTGTGCCCTCTTGCAGTCCAGGAGCCCTCGGGGGATGTCCACTGCTGTGCTGGGTGGGGGTGCTGGTGTGGGGAAGCTCCTTTGTTGAGCATCTTCCCCCTGGTGGTTGGTGCGTGTCATAGCGACTGGTGGTTCTGCTGTTCAGTTGATTTGCATATCAGGCTATTATGATCTAGGATGGGAAGAAGGAGCAAAGGGCTCTGAAGAAGGAAGCAAGCTGTAATGTATGAGGAACACGCAGCAGAGATCCTGGCACATAACAGATGCTCGATAAGTAGCAGCTATTGCTGTTTTCATGGTCTGAAGTCTTAATTAGAAGCAAAGGAAATGGGTGTTCCATGGTCTCATGGGGGATGTAGCAGACTGAGCTCTCACAGCTGGGAGCAGAACTGGGACAGGAACACGGGGTCCAGTGGGGTGCTCTTCTCCCTGTCCCTCCATTGGCCTGATGCTCCCCAGCGTAGGTGCTATGTCACATTCAGCACAGGACCTGAAGGGGTAGCTCTAATTGGGGGCTCAAGCCCGATGGAAGCACAGCTGCCCAGCCTCTGCTCGCACATCCTGGGCCAGGGCTCCCCCTCCCCCCAGAAGCTCCCTCCCAGTGGCCAGCTTGGATTATGTCCATCCTCCCACAGGCCCTTGGGCTGCCTCTGGAGCAACATGACTGGGTTTCCTGAATCCATCCAATTTCTGCCTCTCCTTTCTTTTTAAAAAATATATATATTTATTTTAGAGAGGAAGGGAGAGGGAGAGAGAGATAGAAACATCAATGATTAGAGAAAATCATTGATCAGCTGCCTCCTACACACCCCCTACTGGGGATTGAGCCCACAACCTAGGCATGTGCCCTGACCAGGTGATCTCCTGGGTCATAGGTTGACGCTCAACCACTGAGCCACACCGGCTGGGCCTGCCTCTCTTTTCAGTGGAATCCTTGCAGTATATCTGCATGCTAGGATGTTTTCTTCACACTTTCCATAGGAGAACACCTTTGTGCAGGGCTAGAAGAAACCAGAGGAATCAGAGTCCACCTACAGATGGGGCGCCTGAGGCTCAGAGACGGGGTCAGCCCAGGGAAACAGCAAGGCAGGGACCAGAACCAGCCGTCCTGACTCCAGGCCAGGAGCCTGTGCAGCCCTCGAGCCCTGCACCATGGGGTATGGTAGGTCACCGATATCAATACCACCATTAGGTAAATCATGGCCCATAATCACCTGAAATAAGGACAGTGATGACCACAGCACGTGGGCATTCCCAGCGGGGACAGCGGAGTGTTTCTCCACCAGAAGCTCAGCATCCAAAAGAGAAACATTCCTTCCTACATTCCCCGAGTGTGTCCCGTGTGCCAGTCCCCATGCGAGGCACTTTCCCAGGAAACCCCACGACAAGGGGCCCATTTGTCCCGCTCGACGCATGGGGAAAACCAGGGGTGTTAAGTTACATGCCCAAGGTCACATATGGGTGGAAGCAGGGCCACAGTTTGACCTCATAGTCAGATGCCCTGGTAGCTGCTGTTAATCCCATTTTACACAAGAGGAAATTGAGGCTCAAAGAGGTGAGGGTGGTGGTGGCAGAAGTGGGATTTCAATTCCATGTGGCAGCTGCCAAAGCACAGGCTCCCTCCACTAAGGCCCTCAGCCATCTCAGCAATACAGGACTGAGGACTCTGGCAAGTGCAGTGTGAGTGGGTTCCAGGAGCCACCGGTCCAGGCAGATCAACATAGCCCGGAGGTGTCTGCATGAGGTGTTCTCCTGGACTGTGCCCATAAGTGTGAGCAGAATGAACCTGGGCAATGCCAACGGGTGCTCTGCTCGTGGGCTGTCCTGGGGAAACGGAGGCAGGCAGCCTGCCATTTTAGGTCGGGGACCAGACTAAACCACCTTGATGGGCCTGTCTCAAGTGTAACAACGTGGAAGGATTTGGAGTCAGAGCGGAGACTGAATCCTGGCACGGCCACCTCCTCCCCCGGTGACCCTGGGCCAGTTCCTCTGTGCTCTGGGCAAGTGGGGGCGGTGGCTTCCCATGCAGCACGGACACAGAAGAGGCCAAAAGGCTCCCCTGGGGGACCCGAGCAAGCGCCCGGTGCCGGCTGACCAGGGAATTGAGCCGACAGCCCCTCGTCAAGAGGCTGCATCAGCACTGCCAAGCGATGAGGGCTGGGCAGTCTTCCGAGGTGTCGGACAAGCCATGCCAGCCCCCGCTCTCTTGGCCATGGCAGCCTTGGCTCCAGCTCCCGGGGTGATTCCCCAGCTGGGCGGGAGGCCGTGGCTCCCTGTTTCCAGGGATTCATGTCCCTCCATGCCAGTCGCCCCTTGGACAATGCCCACCTCTGTGGGTCCCTGTACTCCACAGCCCAGGAGCAGTATGTAATCATCCAGGGTCTGCGACATCATAATCTGGTGCCATGGCAACAGATGAGCTGCCACAAAGGGCTTGGGATTCCACAGGCCAAGGGGGAGAATGGGAAATCCAGGACAAAGGAAGTGGGAATGGCTGTTTATAACAAGAATGCTGGCCAAGGAAAGTGTCAGACAGCCCATGGTCCAACGAACTCTGCTCTGCCACCTGTGGGCTGTGTGACCTTTGGCAAGTTATATAACTTCTCTGAGCCTTTTCTTCCTTCCTTCCTTCCTTCCTTCCTTCCTTCCTTCCTTCCTTCCTTCCTTCCTCTCTTTCTTTCTTTCTTTCTTTCTTCCTTTCTTAATATATTTTTTATTTCAGAGAGGAAGGGAGAGGGAGAGAGAGAGATAGAAACATCAGTGATGAGAGAGAATCATTGATCGGCTGCCTCCTGCATGCCCCCCACTGGGGATCGAGCCCACAACCCAGGCATGTTCCCTTGACCGGGGTCGAACCCGGGACCCTTTAGTCCACAGGCCGATGCTCTATCCACTGAGCCAAACCGGCTAGGGCTGGGCCTCACTTTCTTCATCTGCATTCGGGGATAATCTCCCTGCTTCACCACACAGGCTTGTTGGTGAGTGGGCTAAGTGCATAAACTGAAAGCATAAAGGTGCACGTTTGCAGGGTGTGGAGCCAGCAGCCCCAGCTGTGGGTGTGACATTGGGCCCATCAGTCACAGATGAGGGCCTGCCTCCTCATATGGAAGTGGAGGTGTGGTGCCGACTGCATCTGAGGCCCCTCTCTGTACCCAGAGTCTATGATCTTGTGAAATTATTATGATCACTCAGCACCTGCCAGCACCCACCCCCAGAGGCATCCTCCCCAAGACAATATGCATCCTTCACAGTTATTCCCTCCCACGCTCATCTCACAGCCCCGTGCATACAGGGGGCTTCAAAACAGAGATCAGCCTGGGCTGCCAGGTGGAACCGCTTGGCGTGGCTTCCTCTTGGCAATCACAGGGCTCTGTCGAGTCAGAGCCTCGAAGGCCTCTATGAGCTCGGCCGTTCTATAAGCCAGAACACCAGGGGCAGAAGGAAGTGGCTGCTCAGAGTCACAGCACTGTCCGTGGGAGGGCTGCACCTGCACCCAGAGATTCTGACTCCCGGTCCCACCACGTCTAGGGGTCAGGAAAGGCTTCCGGGAGGAAGGGACCGTATTCAGGGAAGAGGAGTCGGCCAAGCTGTGGGAGCGAGGAGAGCGACGAAGGGCATTCCAGGGTCACAGGGCCTGGGACATGGACAGAATGGCCAGGCAGGGTTGGGGACCTGGGAGCTCCCTAGGTCAGGGCCAGCTCACCCCACCTCCTCAGAGCCCGGCGCAGGGGCTGGCCTTTCACCCAGAGACACCCAGCCTCGGCTCAGCACAGGGCTGCTTCCTAGCAGCCAACCAAACTTCCGGCTCTCAGCTGCTGGGCCTCCCTAGCAGAGGAGGAGGCCGGCAGAGGGCAGGACATGGAGCAGGTGGCCAACCCCCTGGATGTTTGGGATAAGACACTTATTTTCCCTCTTGGAGATCCACGGTGCCCACTGGCTTACGAAAGCCCCGAGAAAGCCTGCACTAAAGGTATCAAATTGACAGTTCCCTCCAGCATTTCCCAAACTTGTTAGCCAAGCAACTTCTATTTTGGTTGCCATGTATGTCCTTTTCCCTGAAACAAGTGGTCTAATGAACCACACCCCGGGAGACATGGCTGCAGTGCCAGCCCCTCATTCTACAGATGAGGCCCAGAGGGGAGAGACTGGCCTGTGGTCACACAGCAGATGCTCGTATCCAATTTTCTGTTCCTGGGCCGGCTCCACCAAGCAGTGACTAGAGGAGAAGGCGTTCCCAGAGTACCTGGCCCAGAGCGAAGCTGACGAGACACCATCCCAGTCCTCAGAGCAGGGACATGTCCAGAGGAGAGCCCAGCATGGGGGAGGGGGATTGATAGCAGGCCACACAGGACAGGAAGACGAGACGTCAGGGCTGCAGGCTCTGTCTGCCCTCTGGTTTCTACAGACAGACTCTGGGCTCCGGGGAATATTCTGTGAGGACAGAGACCCATAGGCAAGGTGGGTTCCAGCTTAACACTGGGGCATGTCCCCTCCCCTCCCAGGGCAGGCGAGAGTCTGAGAGGGCAAAGATGTAAAGCCCCACGTTGGCGGTCAGTGCACAGAGGGACTCATCTGCTCCCACCTCCTCTCCCGGCCTGGACCAGCGCTGGCAGCCTGGCTCGGGGTGGCCTGGCTCCGGCCCTGCAGCCCAGCCCTAAGACAGCTGGGCCACTTGTACCCGAACCAGGGAGATGAAAGGGCTGCTCCCCCCACGGTTACCCTTCCCAGAGCTCGCCAGACCCTGGCGTTGCCAAGACAACCGCTGCC